TACCTTATTTGGAAATTGGGTCTTTGCAGATGTGTTCAAGTTAAGATCCACCCTAATCCAATATGACTAGTGTTCTTACAAGAAAAAGAGAAGACATTCAGAGTCACACAAGGATAGGTCATATGAGGATGGAGACACAGATCAAAGAAGTGCATCTACATGGCAAGGGATTGCCTGCAACACCAGAAGCCAGGAGAGAGGCCTGGATAAGCTCTCCCCTAGAGCTGAGAGGTGACAACGTGCTAGCAGCCCTTGCTGACTCTCGGCACCTCCTTGGCCTCAACCTCCATTCTGGCTGCACTTGAGGAGCCCTTCAGCCTACCGCTGCACTGTGGGAGCCCCTCTGTGGGTTGGCCAAGGCCAGAGCAGGCTCCCTCTGCTTGCCGGGAGGTGTGGAGGGGGAATTGCGGGTGGCAGCCCCTCTCTGGGTTGGCTGAGGCCAGAGCAGCCTCCCTCTGCTTGCAGGGAGGTGTGGAGGGAGGGGTGCGGGTGGCAACTGGGACTGCAGGTGGCACTCGAGGGCCAGCAGCAAGTTCCGGGTGGGCACAGGCTGGGCGGACTCCACACTTAGAGCGGCAGGCCGGCACCACAGGCCCCAGGCAGTGAGGGGTTTAGCACCCAGGCCAGCAGCTGCGGAGGGTGCAGAGGGTCTCACAGCACTGCTGGCCCGCCTGCGCCACGCTGGAATTCTTGCTGGGCCTCAGTCCCCTCCCCGCAGGGCAGGGCTTGGGACCTGCAGCCCACCATGCCTGAGTACCCCCCACCCTGTGGGCTCCTGCACGGCCGGAGCCTCCCTGACAGGCGCCGCCCCCTGCTCCGTGGCGCCCAGTCCCATCAACCACCCAAGGGCTGAGGAGTGCAAGTGCGTGGTGCAGGACTGGTGGGCAGCTCCGCGGTGCCCAGTGTGGGATCCACTAGGGGAAGCCAGCCGGGCTCCTGAGTCCCGTGGGGACTTGGAGAACTTGTATGTCTAGTCAAAGGTTTGTAAATGCACCAATCAGCACTTTGTGTCTAGCTCAAGGTTTTGTAAACACACCAATCAGCACCCTGTGTCTAGCTCAAGGTTTGTAAATGCATCCATCAGTGCTCCCTGTCTAGCTAATCTAGTGGGGACTTGGAGAACTTTTGTGTCTAGCTAAATGATTGTAAATGCACCAGTCAGTACTCTGTGTCTAGCTCAAGGTTCGTAAACACACCAATCAGCACCCTGTCAAAAACCGACCAATCAGCTCTCTGTAAAACAGACCAATCAGCAGGATGTGGGTGGGGTCAGATAAGGGAATAAAAGTAGGCTGCCCCAGCCAATAGTGGCAACCAACTCAGGTCCCCTTCCATGCTGTGGAAGCTTTGTTCTTTCACTCTTTACAATAAATCTTGCTGCTGCTTACTCTTTGGGTCCACACCGCCTTTGTGAGCTGTAACACTCACCACAAAGGTCCGCAGCTTCGCTCCTGAAGTCAGCAAGACCACGAACTCAACAGAAGGAAGAAATTCTGGACACATGTGAACATCTAAAGGAACAAACTCCAGACACACCATCTTTAAGAACTGTAACACTTACCACAAGGGTCCACGGCTTCATTCTTGAAGTCAGCAAGACCAAGAACCCACCAATTCCAGACACAGAGCCTTCACAGAGAGTATGGCCGGCTAGCATCTTGACTTTAGACTTTTAGCCTCCAGAAACGTGAGAGAATAAATTTCTGTTGTTTTAAGCCACCCAGTTTGTGGTAATTGGTTACCACAACTCTAGGAAACTAATACAAACAGTAACATCTTTATGTTAGTTGAGAAACAATTTCTTAATGAAATATGCAGCCATTAAAAATAAGAATGAATTAGACTTAGAAAAAGGATCACAATGTATACATGTAAATAGGTAGGATACAATAGCATATGAGATTATGAATACTATATGCTAAAACAATTCACTAGTGCAGAGAAAAAAGACAAGAAGGAATTTCAAGAAAATATGGGAAGTGGTTACATTTGCATAGTGAAACATCAGTATGTTTTCTACTTTTTTGGAGTTCTCAATTTTCTTTAATGAAAATCTATTCATAATCATCATAATTGGTTGAAACTAATCAAGACTCATACCTAGGACTAGGGCTGGACTGTCTCTTATAAAATCCTTGGCCTTGAAGTTGATAGGTCTGAACAAAACTGATTCTAATTAACAAAAAAGAGCATAGGATGGTTAAATGGACAACTAAAAACTTCTTGTACATTGTTGTACAATGTACAAGATTGTAAAACAATATGTACAAGTTGTAAAAACATCTTGGTCCATTAGGATTGCTGTAACAGAATACTAGACTGGGTGGCTTATAAACAACAGGAATTTATTTCTTATACTTCTGGAGACTGGGAAGTCCAATATCAAGGCTCCAGCAGATTCAGTGTCTGGTGAGGGCTCTCTTCCTCACAGTCCCCTGTCTTCTCATTATAACCTCACGTGGTAGAAGCAGCCTCTTCTCTATGAGCACTAATTCCATTTATGAGGGCTCTCCCTTCAGGAACTACTCTCCTCCCAAAGTCCCCACTTTCTAATATCAATCACTTTAGAGGTTAGGATTTCAACGAATGAATTTTGGGGTAACACAAACGTTCAGTCCATTGCATATCAGGTCCTTGTCTACTTCAAGTTTTGATAGAAGCTGTGAAGAGGAGGACAAATAAAAACATTATAGCTAATGGGGAGAAGGAAGTGTGTCCTTCCTGAAGAGCAGGTGTTAGTATTGAGTGACCATTGGTAAAGCTCAACTTAATGTGACACGTTGATTACCTAAGAGCCAAGCTTAGGATAATAGACAAACTAACTTTCAGTATTTTTGTGAAACCAAACACTAGCAAATTCCCTACAGCTCTTTCTCTCATAGCGGTGCATGTTTTACTTAATCAACCACAAAAGTTACATTCACAAAATTCACTGGTATATATTCACAATTCAGTTGTGCATACCCTGACATATCAGTTTATTTAAACAGGCATTCATTCATATTTCTTGAAAACCTACTAAAAACCCAACACTAGATCAATAATTCATAATACAACACTGAACAAAAACATCATGATTCCAACCCTCAAGTATCTTCTAGCCACACTGGCGAAACAGACATTAAAAAAAGTATGGCGTATAATAGAAAATTATATTGTGACTAAGTAACACAAACAGAAAGCAACAGGTGTCATCATGAGAGTAGATAATAAGAAAAACTATTCTAGCTTGGAAAGACAGGGAAGGTTTAGGTAAGATGAGGTTAAACTGATTTCTCAAGAGAAAAGAATTTACCAAGCAAATTGGAGAAGGAGAGTGATGTTAGTGCTCTGAATAGAAGGAACAGCTTGCGCAAAGTTTCCAAGTCTAGAAATATTCCAGTTGATTTGAGGGGCTAAATGAAGGCAGCGTAATTGGCATGGAATAAGCCAGGCCGGAAGTAGTGAGAGATGAGGCTGGGAGTGCACACACAGCCCTGTAGACAATGTTACAGATTTGGGGCTTAATCCGGAGTGTAATGGAAAGCCACTAATGGAGTTTACTTCTTGATCAGCAGGTGTCACTACTGAGATGACCATTAATTCACTGATAAAACTCAACATTAGTGTGACACATATCACTTAAGACTCACGAATGAAAAATAAATTTGTATGCTATATGTCACTGATATTTTTTAAGGTTTGTTACACAGTGATAACTGACCCACAGCCTTCCCTTCTTCTAGGAATTGTTTGCAGCTTATGGTCCAGGAAATTTTTTTTCTTTTTTTTTTTTTTTTTTTTTTTTTTTGAGACAGAGTTTCACTCTGTTGCCCAGGCTGCAGTGCAATAGCGCAGTCTTGGCTCACTGCAACCTCTGCCTCCCAGGTTCAAGCAATTCTCCCGCCTCAGCCTCCCAAGTAGTTGGGATTACAGGCGCTTGCCACCATGCCCAGCTAATTTTTGTATTTTTAGTAGAGACGGGGTTTTACTATGTTGGCCAGGCTGGTCTTGAACTCCTGATCTCAGGTGATCCACCCACCCCAGCCTCCCAAAGTGCTGGGATTACAGGCATGAGCCACTGTACCCGGCCCATTTTCTCTAATTTTTAAAAGCTACTGTTTCTTATTTCTAAAATATATATTTTATTTTATTTTTTAAAAAAATCTATCATTCTCTGGTGTTTGATGTGGAAGGAAGGTATTTCAAATAGTTCTCAGGCTATCATTTTGAAATTTGAAATGTGAGTATGACATTGAATCAGTTATGAGATTATTTCAACTGGTTTAATCACAAAAGCTCTAGAAATTTAAGGAAAGACTGAAGTAAGACTGAAGGCTACAAATTCAGGAATAACTTTCAAATTATAATAAAGGACTGCTCCAGGAGTGGCACAACTACTGCCACTTCTGGGCAGAGGTAACATGGATTGTTCCTCTGATGCTGTAGGGTACCACTAGAACCTCTGCCACCACTGCTACCTCTGCACAGCAATGGGCAATGTGCCTGTCACTGCCCAGCACCTGGATATCCATTACACTAGTTTCCGCATGGACATCTCACGCCATTGTGTCTGACCCAGAGCAAGGAAAGTATCCATTACACTAGTTTCCACATGGACATCTCACGCCATTGTGTCTGACCCAGAGCAAGGAAAGTTGGAAGGTGAGTTTCTGGCTTTCACTTTGGAAAGAAGCAAACTCATAACATAGGAATGTCCTTAAACATAGAAAAGCAGCTTAAAAGGTTTACAGGGATGCCTTATAATCACTACTTGGTTATGTTGGTGGTGAAAAAAAAAATTAAAAATAAACAAATAAGAAATAAAGACAAGTCTATACACTTCAGGAATCAAGACTACAGTTCTCAATTACAGTTCAACAATATAACACACACAGATGTGTGTAGGTAGGGCATCTGTCACATAGCAGGCACTCAACAAATGACAAATCAGTCAATCAATCAATAAAACAACAAACCACTGCGATAAAATGAAGCACAATTACCCCTTTAATCCAGACTTTTAGTCTTGCCTTTAATTCTCCAATGAATTACTTTGTTTTTCTGTTCAAATTTCCATATTTTACTTTCTTTATCACCTCTAATCTTCTGGTGCAATGATTTCATTTTACAGTACATGCTTGTCAGACCATGCCAGCTGTACCTACTTATGCCTTACCATCTCCTCGTCCACGGGGTAACAGTCTCTCCTGGAAAAGGTTCATTCTAGGTAGTTGGTCTGAATCAAGAATTTAAAGAGATAGAAGCATCAGTGGGCCAGTGATCCTCAAAATTGTAACTTGAAAGGCACAAATATATCTCAATTTTGGCATGCCAGAAGCTTTTTCCTTTAATTTCAATAGTTCAAGGAGACAGGAAAGGGTGGAGAAACAACATACACACACACACATCTGTGTGTATATATGTATATACATGTGTAAATACATGTATGTATGTATATACTTGTGTATATACATACACATATGTGTGTATGTGTGTATATATGTATATATACACAAATATATACACATGTATGTATATATACACATATATATGTATATACATATATACATACACATGTGTGTGTATTTCCTTTCCTGTTTCACTTCCCCTTCCCTCACTTCTGTGTCCTGAACTCACACTTCCAAATAAACTTCCCATCCATGAACCATTGTCACAATCTCCTTTCAGAAGAACCCAGGCTAAGATTTTCTCTCTTGTCCTCCTACCCTTCCTTCCTTCCTGAGCCTTTTCCTTTTTTCAGTGATATTACCCATCTACTTTTACACTCTCACATATATATATGAGCATGTATATATATACACATATATGTGTGTGTGTCTGTAAGTATATATATTTAGTATTTCTCCAGCCCTTCCTGTCTTCTTGAACTATTGAAATTCCACATGTGAAGTGAAATACAGAAAACAGCAGACCTAAGTTAGTGATTTTGCTGGGAAAGACAAGAAAAAAGAAAATACAACTTTCCAATTTTGCTAATGTAAAAATACATTTTACACTTGTGTTTTTGGTAGATTGGGCAATGACGGTTAACCCACACTTTCCAAAATCTTTGGATAGACATTTACTGAACACTAGTCATGTTCCAGAACTGGGATGGACGCTGGGATAGGCTGGTAAGCAGTGCGGACAGTTTACCTGTCCAAATCTGCTGTATTTGAACTAGGGCTTTCAGTCAGATGACTCTAATAAGATCAAAATATCCCCTAATCTAAGAAAACAAGTTAATAGCACTTCAAAAAAAGGAAAGTCTAAGGAAAAAATGAAAGACAGGAAGGGTAGGAGGAAGAGAGAGAGCATCTCAGCCTGGGTCCTTCTGAAAGCAGATGGTGACAATGGTTCATGAATGGGAAGTTTATTTGGAAGGGTGAGCTCAGGACATAGAAGTGAGGGAATGGGAAGTGAAACAGGGAAGAAAAGAGCCATTTCCTTCCCTCCCTCACTTCCCTCCTTTCTTCCTTCTTTGTTCCTTCCTTCCTCCCTTCCACATTTCAAAATTCTTCTCAGTTAGATCAAGTATCCAGTCACCTGTGGCAGCCAATGGAAAATGTAAGTGGAAGGAAGGGAGGGAAGGAAGGAAGGGAAGGAAGGAAGGAAGGAAGGAAGGAAGGAAGGAAGGAAGGAAGGAAGGAAGGAAGGAAGGAAGGAGGGAGGGAGGGAGGGAGGGAGGGAGGGAGGGAGGGAAGGAAAGGAAGGAAAGGAAGGAAAGGAAGGAAAGGAAGGAAGGAAGGGAAGGAAGGAAGGAAGGAAAGGAAGGAAAGGAAGGAAAGGAAGGAAGGAAGGGAAGGAAGGAAGGAAGGAAAGGAAGGAAGGAAGGGAAGGAAGGAAGGAAAGGAAGGAAGGAAGAGAAGGAAGGAAGGAAGGGAAGGAAGGAAGGGAAGGAAGGAAGGAAGGAAAGGAAGGAAGGAGGGAAGGAAGGAAGGCAGGAAGGAAGGAAGGGAAGGAAGGAAGGAAGGAAAGGAAGGAAGGAAGGAAGGGAAGGAAGGAAGGAAGGCAGGAAGGAAGGCAGGAAGGAAGGGAAGGAAGGAAGGCAAGGAAGGAAGGAAGGAAGGGAAGGAAGGAAGGAAGGGAAGGAAGGAAGGAAGGAAGGGAAGGAAGGAAAGAAGGCAGGAAGGAAGGAAGGAAGGAAGGAAGGAAGGAAGGAAGGAAGGATGGATGGATCCTGGCAATTGTGATTTTTCTATCAGAAGCATCTAACAGAAACACAGCTCAAGTATTTCTGCTTCTCCCCCATTGGATAATTACAGCTTATCCTTCTTGATGATCTCATTTGATCTTCAGAACAACCCCATGAAGTAGGTATTATTTTTATTACAGTATTGTGCTTTAAAGTGTGAGCTGTGTTGTGAGACAGCTCGGAATGAAATACAGGCTCCATCACTTGCGAGCTTTGTGACCCTGGGCAAACTAACATGTTTATGCCTAAGTCTTCTTTAAATGGGTGATGATAAGTGCAACAACTGTTTGTTGTGAGTATTAAATGAGTTAGTATTTGTAAAGTATTTAGAATTGGTCGGGCATATAGTAAGTTAGCTTTTATAAACACCTGTTTTGTTTTGTTCTTCTGATGCTCTCAACTGTGGACAGATTTTGAATGCCTTCTGATGCATAAAATAGGAGAAGCACTCACATTAGCAGAATGACTTTGAAACTGCACAGTGTGATCCTCGGCAGAAACAGTCCTAAACAAGGTGACGGGGGAGCCAAATGTGCAGGACCCCGCCAGGAAGACTTGGAACGAAGGGGTGGGGCTCAGCTGGGAAAGCGTGTTTTGAGCAAATACACATTTCACTGATCAACAGCTTCTTGCGGGATGTCCTCCCTAAGCCATTTCTGTAAAACATAAAATCTCCATTCTAGGCAGGGTGCCATATTTTTCCTTCTCTGCACCCAATGAGAGAGTGCTTCCTTCTCCCTGGCCATTTGCAGGGAAAATGAAGCCAAGATCCCATTTTAGTACAAATGCTCAACTTTTATGGAAATGTGTTTGGATAATTTACAAAGGACACCCCTCCTCTTCCACTCCAGTTGAGAGGTTTTAGAAACTCCGGGGGTTCTTTTCATGGCTTCCTACCCCAATTCTTTGTAGACTGGCAAAGAAGCTTCCTCTCCCTCACTCCTCAGCACCCCACTGATTCTACAATGTCTGGGAGGCCATCAGCATTTAAATAACAACAAAAAATGGTCCTCATCTGAAACCACAGAAACCCTATTTAGCACAATCAGGACTAGAGAGTCATTTAGAGAGCAAGTACCTTCATTATAATGTGGGAAGCAGAGTCTCAACTGACTATGGAAGTCTTCAGCCTTGAAGGAAGAGAGGGGCTGGGGAGACAGAAAGCAGGAGGGACAGTAGAACATATAAGCCATTTTCCCAACTTGGGAGGTATATTTAATATTGGCAGAAAGCAATCATTGCAAAATGTGTATGTGTTTATTTATTTATTGGATTGAATGTACCCAGTCATCGCTTCTCTCTAGGGGCAACTGGAAGAATGACAGAAAATGAGACTCACTCATATCTTGCTTTTACAGCTTAAACTACTCATATCAGACCTCATAAACACAAGTAATCTATTATATTCTCACCAGTTCTCACACCCACCCTCGGATGGCAATACAAATTCCATTTATATTCCTGAGTCCTAAAACCAGAATGGACTCATGCTTCTGGATAGTTATAGCAAGGGTACCAGAAGCTGGCTGTCTGACTCATTCCTGCTTGCAAATTTTATCCATCTACTTTCACACTCTCACAAACACAGGCACACAGATCAGTGGTCTCCTGTCCACACTTTCTAGCCAAAGAATTTCACTCCTATTTCTTCAAAAACTATTTAAGCTTTCTGACAATTGTGAAGAATTTTCTAAATAAAGTCCCCAAGAACCACAGATCTCTCCCATTTCCTCTATGCACCCTTGTCTTCCTCTTCTTCCCCACCTACATAATGACAGGTTCCCTCATCTATCAAGCTCTGATTGTTTTCCTATGCCTGTTCGTGTTTATTGATCCAAACAGGTTTTTTTTTTTTCTTCTTTTCCAATGGACGATGCTTGCCTTTTGCGTTCCCATGCATGTAAGAGCTGGGAGATCATCTCTCAGACTCCAGCCCTCTTGCTTCTCAGGTAAGACATTGAAGGCATGAGGAAAGAAGGGATTTGTCTGTTCCTGGATGACCATGAAAGTAATTATTAGATTGTGATCCAGTATGCCAAGCTGCCAAAGAGGACAGAGATGCATCTTATACAAAATTCAGTTTGCAAGTCTCTGAGTCATCTTGGAAGAAAAGGAGAGTTGACAACTTCAAGTGAACCCATCCAGCATGTTTATGCTGGTTGTGGAATATAAATTACTAATAGCTATAAGCTACCAAGGTGGGTTAGTGGGATCAGTCACCGGCCTGGAGACATGGATTTGTAACCATCCCTATAAACTTTATAAAATTAAAGAAGAAAACTAAATTTAAGTCAAGAAGAAAGGAGGGGAAGAAACAAAAATAAATCCAGCTTGCAGCACATTCAGCATTAACCATGAGGGGAGCTGGCTCTCTGACCTGCTTCCTCATAGTTGTTGGTGCCTATTGCCCCAGAATCATGCAGACCCTGTCACAAGGTTAAAATTCCCCTAACTGCTCTATAGATAACAACTTAGGCATTGTGAAACTTAAGTTTTATACTGGAGATGTTCTTTCCGATCCTGCATTCCAGTGAAACTACTGAGAAGAGGCTGACACACTGAAGAGTGTTGTTTCCACATTCTAATGATTTCATCCCCCTTAATCCAAGTAGCCAGTGACCTTAATTTCCCAGCCCCTCACTCTCCACAATCGCCTTAAAAACTCCAGCCCAGAACTTCTCAAGGAGCTGAATTTCAGTATCCTTGTCATCTCACTCAGCCATCCTGTGATAAGTAAACTCTTTCTCTGATGCAAACCTTGCTGTCTCAATGTATTGGTATGTTACTGCACAGTGGGCCAACAAACCTGTTGGTCCTGTAACACATTCAAAATTCATCTCTACTTCTAATGCCATGGGCAATCTGCTTATGCTCTCTGTGATGGTTAATACTGAGTGTCAGTTTGATTGGATTGAAGGATACAAAGTATTGTTCCTGGGTGTGTTTGTGAGGGCATTACCAAAGGAGATTAACATTTGAGTCAGTGGACTGGGAAAGGCAGACCCACCCTCAATCTGGGTGGGCACCATCTAATCAGCAGCCATCAAGGCCAGAATAAAAGCAGGCAGAAGAACGTGAAAAGACTAGACTGGTTTAATCTTCTGGCCTACATCTTTCTCCCATACTGGATGCTTCCTGCCCTCAAACATTGGACTCCAAGTTCTTCAGCTCTGTAATTCTTGGACCTTTGGCCACAGACTGAAGGCTGCACTGTAGGCTTCCCTACTTTTGAGGTTTTTTAACTTGGACTGGCTTTCCTGCCCCTCAGCTTGCAGACAGCCTATTGTGGGACCTTACCTTGTAATTGTGTGAGTCAATACTCCTTAATAAACTCCCGTTTATACATGTGTCTATCCTATTAGTTCTGTTCCTCTGCAGAACCCTGACTAATACATTCTCCAAGCCTCCATTGCCTTGGTTTTCTCATCTATAAAATGGGGATATTGATAGAGCACTCATGAGGTTATTGGAAAGATTAAATGAGGTCCTATATTAAAATAATAAAAAACTTACTATTTATTGAGCACTGAGGCAAGTGTTTTAAAATCCATTTTCCAAAGGGAAAACACTGAACCTCAGAGAAGTTACATAACCTTGTCCAAGGTGACACAGGCACTAAGCAGCAGAGGTAGAACTCAAATCCCTACCTGTTGATGCAATGACAGTGCTTCCTCAGCCTGTTATGCTGCTTGCCATGGCATCAGATATCACTCTTCCCCAGCCCAAATTGCAAGGCTACAACATTTAAGGGTCTTATCTGCCTGTCTAAGCAACTGAACAACACATATCTTAGCACCTGCTGCTCTACCTGTTTTCTTTAGCCATTTAAAACCATGTGAACAAACCCTTTAGGTTTTACAAAAGCAAAAGATGTGACATTTATTGTCACCAATGATCCTGTTTCAGAGACAAAGACTTGTCAACACCTGGAACTTAGGGTGCAATTGGGCATATCTTTGGAGCTAATTTAATTTACCCAGAGTAACCAGCATGCTCAATTGTGACCATGAAGCAGCCAGGCAAACCTTAAATCTAGAACAGCTGAATATATTTTGGGATTTTTTTTTCCCTCCCCACTCAGCTAGCAGCAATTAGTGCCAAGTGTCCAGCAAATGTCATCTAGGCACTGGCCAGGCAAAAAGTCTCCTGGGTAGTTCTGTGACCACGTGGCCCTGTCCTGCTGAGTTTGGCTACATCTCCCCACTTCTATCCCCTCCTTCAGTTCCATTTCTATTGTTCTGAGTTACTATTCTCCACAAAGCACTGAGCTGGACTCTGAGCAGAGTGCAGAGATGATCATGAAGAGATCTCTACACTCTGGGCACTTAACATGTTACCAAAGTGGATTAAACAAAAACATAATTAGCAGCGTGCTTACCCTAACCGCTGTCCAGATAACGTGATATAGAAGATGGAAGAACAAGGAAGAATAAGGTACAATTATTATAGGAAAGAACTTATGGAGGAGGTAAGATTGAGATGGGTCTAAGGGTTTACTTATCCATCTCTTCTTCCCAAGGTCATGACCCTGGGGGAGGGGAGGTTCTAATATCAGCCGTGTTCTGTGCCAGAATCTGCCTAAACAATCCATTCTTCTTATCTGTCTGTTTTGTATCTAGTACTAAAGGCTGACTTCATGGACATCCTCAAATGAGCACGACAGTTCACTATATATTTTCCAAAGTCTAAATAACTCAGTCTTAATTAGCACAATGTTGAGGACACCAAGTGCGATGGTTAATTTTATGTGTCAATTTGACTGGGCCACAGGATGGCCAGATATCTGATGACACATTTGTTCTGGAGATTTCTGTGAGTTTATTTCCAGAAGATATTAGGATTTGAACTGGTAGACTGAGTAAAGCAGATGGCCCTCCACAATGTGAGGGGGCATCATCCAATCTGTTGAAGGTTTAAATAGAACTAAAAGGTGGAAGAAGGTTGAATTTGTTCTTTGTCTGACTGCATGAGCTAGTAAGTAAATCTTTTCCTATCCTTGGAGCTCCTGGTTCTCAGGCCTTCAGGCTCGAACTTGAATCTATAGCACTGGCTCTCAGTCCATTAAACTACACCACCAGCTTTTCTGTGTCTCCAGCTTGCAGACAAGCAGATTGTGACACTTCTCAGTCTTCATAATTGAGTGAGCCAATACCTTATAATCACCTACGTATAGATAAATATATAGATATATCCTGTTAGTTCTGTTTCTCTAGAGAACCCTCACTAACATACCAAGTGATATGGTTTGGCTCTGTGTCCCCACCCAAATCTCACGTTGAATTGTAATTCCCAATGTTGGGGAAGGGACCTGGTGGGAGGTGACTAGATCATGGGGGTGGATTTCTTCCATGCTATTCTCATGAGAGTGAATGAGTTCTCATGAGATCTGATAGTTTAAAAGTGTGTGGCACTTCCCCTACCCCCTCTCCTATTCTGCCATGGTAAGACATGCTTGCTTCCCCTTCGCCTTCCACCATGATTGTAAGTTTCCTGAGGCCTCCCCAGCCATGTTTCCTGTTAAGCCTGCAGAGCTATGAGTCAATTAAACCTCTTTTCTTCATAAATTCCCCAGGCTTAGGTAGTTCTTTATAGCACTGTGAGAATTAATACACCAAATATTCAGCATAAACCCATTCCTTAGGGGAAATACTTCCTGTTTTCCCCAAAAGCAGAGTTGTGATACATACCCAATTTACAGTCATAAACAGAACACTGAATACCACAGAAGACAGCCAATTTGTGACTGGTTCAACAGCTTTTCTTGTTCCTTTACCTTCTTGTTACCACATACAGGGAGCACTGGCCTGACTGAGCTCAGCCCCATGGACTTATCCCCTGACCCAGGCACACCCAATGCAGAAAGGCCTGGCACAGGCCCGCAGCCAGCTGGTTCTCGGGCTTTTGCATGCGCTTCCGTTTCTCCAAGGTACAGGTGGCTCTTCCTCAAATTGGAATGGTAAGATCTCAGATTTGTGCTTTGCATGGGCAAGTAGAGGAAGCGGCCTCTTGAGTTCACATTGAGAACAGCCTACCAGGCTGAACAATCTTAAAAAGAGATATTTGCTCTTCTAATGCCCAGCCTCTCTCAACTTGTGTTTGGGTCTGCTCAATCCTCACTCAGACTATGCTACTGCAGTTACCCCTGCTCCTCATAAGCAGAAGCTAGCTGCCCACCTGCTGAGAACATAGTCCAAGTGTGAGAATGCCATTCCAGACCTCGGTAGGATTGTCTGCCAACTGGTTTATGTTCTATAAGAGTCACACAACACCTATGCCACTACTTTCTTAATATATTTTATTTAATCTAAATAGATTCACTTTTGAAACTTAGCATGGTCCTAGACAATAATATCTATAAAATCATAGTTTGATGTTCCAATTCTATATTTACTATACATTGAAATAGATATATGACTGTTAAATTTTTTAAAAAGTAATTGCCGCTCTACCACTTACGATCATTTGGCTAACCACCAGGGATGTGGGCAGACCACACTTAGGGAACTGCCTTCTGATGCTACAGTTCTATGATTATCACAGAAGAGGTTTGAATCTATAAGAAGGAAAGGAGAGGTGGTACTAGTTCACTGACGAAAGCAGCATAGTGAGGTAGATGCAATTAAAAAATGTAAGAACAGCAGGAAGCACAGATTCAAAGGTTTTTAAATAGAGATAAGAGCTAGGATGATCTCTGGAGAGGAAAATGTGTCCATTCTTGGCCTGTTTTTTCCAAGCCAGTGAATAAATTTCTATTTGTGTTTAGAGAAGGGAATGTTGTTTTTTGCCCTTACTTGAAAACAAAAGAAAGGATTTTACACATCTCTCTGTTTCAATTGGATAGAGAGGGTATTTCCTTTAATTTCCACCAACATGTTTTCGTTTGTAGCTTGGGGTTGCCAGTTGAAAGAAAATGACAACATTTCGCTGTACATATCAGAATGTGTACAGATGGCATAGTTTTTTATGAGACCTGAATCTATCTGTAAAGAAAAAGCCATGGAATACTATTAATTGGCTAAATTTCAAACTCTATTTTTTGTGTGTGGGGGAACCAAAATCTTTTTTTTTTTTTTTGAGATGGAGTTTTGATCTTGTTGCCCAGGATGGAGTGCAATGGCGCCATCTTGGCTCACTGCAACCTCCGACTCCCAGGTTCAAGCGAATTCTCCTGCTTCAGCCTCCCGAGTAGCTGGGATTATAGGCTCCTGCCACTCCACCCGGCTAATTTCTTGTTTTTATTAGAGATGGGTTTTCACCATGTTGGCCAGGCTGGTCTCAAACTCCTGACCTCAAGTGATCCACCCACCTTGGCCTCCCAAAGTGCTGGGATTACAGGTGTGAGCCACTGCAACAGGCCAAACCAAAATCTTAATGGAAGTTTTCAAAATATGCTTAGCATAACCATAAAATATATTGGTATTTTCTCCATGTATATCTACCTTCTCTCCAGAAGAACATCTAGGTCACAGGTCTTGAAACTTTCCATACCATAAAGGGAGAAGCAGCTCTGGGGAAAATTATTGATGTTGATAATATTTGTTTTTAATTATCCAGCTTTGAATTTGAACACCTTTCCCCCCTTTGTAGTCTCCAATCCTCATGATACATGATACACATTCTCAAGTTTGCTGGAAACTTTCTTCATCACCTTGACAAAGATATTCACAGGAAAGCCTCTGACCTCATTCACCCCTGATAATATCCGCCACTGTTCCTCCTCCAGACACATTTGCAGGCTCTGACCTCACAGAAAGGATAGAGTGAGCAGACAAGAGTATGGCACATTGGAAAGAGTATTATCTTTGCAGTAAAACAAGCTGAGTTCAAATCCCAAGTCAGACCATGTGACTAACTGCTTGTCTTAGGGAAAGCAAACTTTTCTCCCAAACAGAACCGATTTACCTGGTTTGCTCTGGTGGCAGTTGAAACATTTTTGTGATTATAAATAGCTGTGGTCCCAAGATTCCTTGGTGCACCTTCCCATGGCCCCAGCCATCCTAACTCGCTCCCAGGAAACTCCAGGACCTATGACCAGAGTACTTCTAAATCGTCTCTGCGTGTGTTTTTCCGATTGTTACATACGTCAAATATCCTTCTTGGTCTCTGTGTCCTAATCTGTATAATGGGGTAATAATACCGACCATGGTAATTAAAAGAAAAAAAATGAAAGCATCTGTCATTGAGCAAATGATCAACAAATGCTAATTGTCTTTGCTCTTCATGTCAAAAGGATTCAGCCCTCAATCACAGAGAACTTTCTTTCCCATTATTACCAATAAGTATTTTCAAGCTCTGGACTCAAAAGATCCCCCTCAACACACATATGGGCACGCGCGCGCGCACACACACACACACACACACACGTAGGGCCGCTGTCACAACAATTTTGTAGCCCAAAGATCAGAGGGCCTTGCTAATGTCACAGCCCTTAATGCTCAGGCAAACATGGCGATAGCCTTGAAAATACAGAGTTTCATGTCACCAAAATCTTAGCTCTCTCATGTGCTTCCCTCCCTGCCTCTAAACTCCCTTTCATGGGCTGTCAGATCAATTTTACAGCATGTTTGAGTAAGCTGATGAGGACCCGAGGGAGCAGCCCCAGCTCTGCACTGGACTAGTGAGGAGGGGAGCTGGGCTGCTGAATGCAGGAGAAAGCAAACTCCTCTTTCCTGTTCAAAATACATGCTGAAAAAAGACCATTTTTGCTCAGTTGTGCAGGTTTTTAAACGCCCCCCCAGTCATTTGAGCCTGAAAGTATAAATCCGAGTTTATGCCTGACACGGATTTTTTTTCAATCAGCCTATTTTAATTGCATAAATGTTCGTCTTTGTCTTGAAGGGAAAATATAATACATAGTTCAGTGGAAAAGGATGTCGCCTTGATTGGTATAATTAAGACTTTCTGTTCCAGTGCACCATATAAAGACCAGAAGCCATACAGGTTTTCTCCTTTCATATTGCCTCTAAAAACTAAAGAGGCCTTACCCCAATCTGTATTTTTGTTTTTATTCTTTTAATTTAAAAGAGTATATGCAGAGGCAAAAAAAAATTACTTATATTGCTGCCATTATATATCCTCATCCTCCCCAAACTCTAAGGTGATTTTTTGTGTGTTTTGCATGTATTGCAATAATGTCAGTATCACGGAGGAGTCTCCACAGGGTGACACAGTGGAGGCCTTCTCTCTTGCCAGGAAACTGAGAGTTTGCTTTGAGCTCTCTTGCACACCCAAAGTTGCCACTGGGTTAGAAGTTTCTAGTTGTTTTAAGAAAACATGGTTTAGCTTTTACATCAATTATAAAACATTATTTAGACCCATCATGGATTGAATTGTGTCCCTCCAAGAGCTATGTTTAAGTCCTAACCCCCAGCACCAGTGAATGTGCCTTCATTTGCAAATAGTCTTTGCAGATATAATCAAGTTAAGAGGAAGTCATGCTGGATTAAAGTCAGCCAAAAATCCAATAACTGCTGTCCTTATGAGAAGGCCATGTAGAGATACAGAGATGCAGAGATGCAGATGCAGAGGGAAGAAAGCCAGTGAAGACAGATGCGGCGATGGCAGTGATGCAGCCACAAGCCAAGGGATGCCAAGAATTGCCTGCAATTGTCAATTGCCAGAAGAGGCAAAGAAGGATTCTTCTCTAGAGCCTCCAGAGGGAACACGGCCCCACTGACACCTTGATTTCCGAATTCTGGC